TAGCACCATGTCGTCTGCATACTCTAGACCTGCCACCTGGGAGTAAATCGATGCCACTTTACTCGCACGAGGATAGGGCTGTTTCCATAATCAAATCCATAACAAAGTTAAATAGAATAAGAGAGAGAGGGCAACCCTGTCGAACATCACTTTCTGTGGTGAACTTGGGCGAAAGCGTGTCATGAGCTCGGACTCGGCTTCGGCTATGAGTATAGAGGGATCGTAATATTGAAATAAGCTTCTCAGGCACACCTTTCAGAGAAAGGCAGCGCCAAAGTTTTAAGTGTTCGGCTGAGTCGAAAGCCGCTTTCAGATCGAGGAAGATAGAGATGGTGGGTCCACGAAAAGAATGTCGGTGCTCCAGAGTTTGGCGAAGAGTGAAGATGTGATCGATACAACCTCGACCAGGTCTAAAACCAGCCTGGTTCTCACGCGTGCATTCTTCACGTGCGGAAGACAATCGACGGAGTATGATACCGGCGAGAAGTTTAGAGGCAATGTTGAATAAACTAATTCCTCTGTTGTTTTCACAAGAGGATCTTTCACCTTTCTTGTAAATCAGTATGATGACCAATTCACACCATTCACCTGGAACCTTTTCCTTCTCTTACACTGAGCTCAGGAGTTTCGTTAACTCCGGAACCAAGGCTAAACCTCCATCCTTAAAAACGGATGGAGAGCCCGTTTGGGCCGGAGGCCTTATGCTTTTTGGGATAGGTTACTTCCCGGGAAACCTCCATTTCAGATGCAGGACTGGCAGAATTTGCGCAGTTGCGGTGGAGGGTGATAGTTCAGATGTCGATGAGGGCCAGTTTAACTGAGCCTCGAACTGTTCAGCCCATCGATCAAGAGGGCTTTGCTGATCGTGAATCAGTGTGCCATTGAATTTCTTAATTACCTCACTTACGCCTATTTTCCCAGGACTTGTATTCCTAATTAAACGGAAAAGATTGTGACTACTCCCAATAGCCGCAGACTTCTCCATCTCTCTACACTTTCCTATCCACCAATTCTCGCAGTCATTCCTCAGGCTCTGGATGAGCTGGCGTTTGAGGGATTTTCGCGCTGTCATATGTGGCATCGGGAGGAAGGGTTCTGCGGGCGTCCAACAGGGCAGCTGAGGTCGATGAGATCCATCGTGTGTTTTGAGCCTGCGTAAGGGTTCGACGTTGGTTTTATTGCTATTTGCTTAGCTTCCAGTGTTCATTGACTCCTTCGGCTGGTGGTTTAACTGACAGACGATCGGAGAGTTCCGCTTCGAAGGCTGATTCACAACAATCGCTAACGTTGTATCGTAGGTATCCGTTTTCGGTGGCTTTATTACGGTTGTTTGCCAGGCATAAGGAGAATTTAGCTCGTAGCAAAGCGTGGTCCATATCCACAGGTGTTGACCAGTAAGAGCGGCAGTGTGTAGCAAACAATCGATTGAGTATAATAACAATATTGTGTGTTCGTGTATCACACAATGAGTTGGGACCCTTCGCCACAGTCCTTCAAATGTTGCTAGGTATTTTGCCACTTTACACTGTTTCTCAAAACAATACGGATATCTGCCGCGGGCGCAAATATTCCAGGAATATTCCTGGACAACTGTGGATCACGTGTATTCGAGAATACTGTTATGCACAAAAATACGTCGGCGTGGTAGAAGACGATCCAACAGTTGAACCTAATTTTTGTGGAGTTCATTCAAAGAAACCTACTAAACATGGGAAACAATCCGATTAGAAAGAGGTTATGAAAGCACGGTTCAGTAGTACGAACTCCATAGGGTAGTTTGTCTAGAACGAAGTTAACGTCCGACGGTGAATTGAGTAATCTAAATAGCCAACAGATTTCTTTCTCCAATGCCAGACTAGTAGAGAAGTGATAGCACATGCCATTTCCCATAATTAAGTTTTTCTTCTTTTAGGCAGCATATGTCAACAGAAAAACAATCGGGGATGCACGGAAGCGTCAACAATGAGGATAGATGTATTTAAGCTGCGCTCAGTGGAAGTGTAACGTGGTCGAGATGTAAACTGTGTGAACGAAAGAGAACCAACGAATGGTAATGTGTGTAGAATTTACAACACAAGAAATGGGCGTGTCATATAGAAGGATTCCATTTCTGCTCGATACGAGTGAGGTCAGAAAATTCACTGGGGATCGAGCAGGAATATCCTTACTATCAGTTTGCAAGGAACAACACAGTAAAGGGATCCATGTGTGTATGTGTATGTGTGAAACGGTAAATGCGAGCAGAAAATTAAGGGCGAACGACAAAAAATAAAATAGACTCACATAGACCCGGTGTCCAATGACTGAAGCTCGCGAGTGCCCCAGCTTGCCTTTACAGGCACCGGAATCGTAGTGTCGAAGAAGAAAATCATCCTACAATGAGAACACGGTTAAACAGAGATGTCAGTCAGGTTGGACGGCACCATGCTTATCAGCAAGCCGACGGCAGTCATTTAGCTAGCGTACTTTTGAACTATGTAAGCTACTACATGACTTATCCTGATAAAAAAGGACACGAGCCAAGATCAAGAGGAGTGAAATGTAGCAAAAATCAATGGTGCATCGTGTTTACCCATTCCACCGACAGAGGAGTTGCATCAGACTAAACTCAGGCATGTTCTGAACGAGATAACTCACGTCCAACGTTGAGTAAGAAAAAAAAGTATTCGAGAGACAGGGGGAATAGGAAAGGATGAAACAGTGTTGCCGAATAGTGCCCGTAAGTGCAATTGTTATAATATAATGCTCTAATATCCAAGTAAATCAAAAGGCCAAATATCCAGAAAATGAAATTGAGGTATTCAGCGATCATTCTGGTAAATGCATTTTTACTCATGGCTAAGCCGGGAAATGCATTGAAATATGAGCAACTGACATTATATTACTCACGAGTAGATAAAACACTTAGGATCAAATATGAACTGTAGAATAACCTGACCTCAATGTTCAGCATTCAGACAACTGGAGGTGACCTCCATTTATCTACCATATCTAAAACAAAAGGGGCACATACATACTGGTTTCTTCAGTCCGTCGAAAGGATACTCATTATCACAATCATCGTGCAGCGAAATACAACGAGGCGAACTTCACCGATAGATGCCAAATTCACAAATTAGGCAAAATAAGGTGGACAGGGAGTGTTTCTCTTCTGAGATAAGAGGGAAGGAATGGAACCTCTTTGTCTAACTTCTACCCTCAGGCATCATGAAACCTTTAGACTTGACAAAAGCCATTTTGCGTAGCCCGTTGGATCAGAGAAGCGTAGAAGTCATCTCGGTTTGATCTCTCCGTGACAGAGAGTCAAGGACAACGAAATCAACTCTTCGGCAGATAGTCGAACCCATATACATTTGAGCAGAGTTCTAATACTGCAGATCACTGACACAATAACCAGAAAAATTCAGTATTCGAACGCAAAACCGGTTACTTTCGTTGTTTGCGCAATCCAGAGTACGGTATTCTGATTATTGGAGCTTAATCATATTTTACAGTCAGATTGCAAACTGCCACGCTGGATTTACCCAACCGAGGCACTATGAGAAATAAATAGCACGTCTCTAAACACAAACAATCGGGNGGATATCTGCATCACAAGGTTAATGGTAGAGGGAAGGCGATTTAAGCGTGCTAATCGCTCTTATCAGTGCAAATAAAGCGTCGGCTGATCGTAAATTTTGTTAGAACTACTGGATTGTGGGGGGTAGGGATTTTACTTTTTTAGACACGATCATCAATGATGGAACATATGTTTCAACAGAATTGAACGAGGATAGTTGGTTTCAAATGGGTAAGAACTAAACCCAAAACACTATTTTATGATAAGAATGGGAAAGCATAAGACCTTAACAGAATGTGTAGTATTCTTTTGAGCCGACATTGATGCTGTTCGAAGAGGGTACGACGGGCATGGAAGAGCGATGACCATTATACAGACTGAAATATGACAGCAGGAAAAAGGGAGTTTCGGGGAGTGGTTGAAAAGGATGGTGAGATAAACGTTGAAAACGGGCTTACTATTCTCAGGTGGTTTGCAGTATTCATGACACACACACACACACACANGACAGTACCAACAGAAGGTATGTTTACAGGCACGACAATTCATTTGAGCACAACCTTCAACTCGCTCAATCGGGACCAAACAGGCCGGACAACGTTTGAGCCATGCGTCCGGTGGATAGGGCGGGAAGCCGACAGCTAGCATGGACAAATCTCCATTACTTGAAGGTGATGGTTGCGATGTGGTTGAACCGGGAGGAGGTAGAACCAAATGAGAAGTCCATTTTCGAGTGGTGCGGTGTCGTTTGTGTCTACTTTGGCGAGATTGAGGAGTCGGCTCGGAAAGATCACGGGAGACAAGCGGGGCTAGTGAATCTCCTTGAGGAGGGATCAAAACGGAAACTGGATCCAGTGTGACAACTTTATCATCTTTCTGGTTAGTGGATAGGGGACCGTTTTGGCTGGTATGAGGTATACCTTTTGAGTGTGATTTTGACGAAGTGGATCGGTTGAGTGAAGCGGAACGGTGTCGTGTTTTTAGTTGCGGCATGTAACCGGGGTCGCATAAGGCAGGTATTTGTTCATGCCAGGTCATATGGCATCGAGCACAGAAAGTAAATCCGCATTGATGACAAACCACACGAACAGCTGGGCGCATACTCAAACCAAACTTCGCAGATTTTGTCGGACTGAGAGATCTGGTCCAAGGCTAAATGAGAAAAACACGAAGAGAAAGTCAAATAAATAAAAACGTGAGAGCATAGGACGACATTTGGATTGCGACAGAAAAATGAAGAGTGAGACAGGCGATTCGTATATACTTGTTTGGCATTTCCAGTTGCGGTGGTGGTGACCAAGCGGCTTAAGTCATTTGAGTTTAAGCTTCAAACTCTTACACCACCAGTCCAACATAGGTCGAAGACAGCTCCCCATTCGTCTAACTCTGTAACTTATCTGGTTCTGGTGGTTCGGGATATGGGCTCCAACTTATCATGAACGAAGGGTAGATAATCATGATTTTGGAATTTATTCCTACTGCTGTCTCCGAACTACTTCTACCAGTTGGTGGCCTCCGGGATGTAGAGGGGTTGACGCGAATTTGATAACAGTCCTGTTGCAGTGCGAGGGCAATGAGGTTCTTCAGAAGACACGCTGTTTGACCTTGTGCCCAGGTGATATTGCATTACCGATTGAAGGTGTAAATAAATTCCAAGCTCAAATAGTATCGTGTTACCGATTTTTACCTTCAGAACGTGATGTATGCCTACAAGACGGTGCTTTATTTCACAATCTTCCAAAGCTATTATTAGCACGTGAGGTGTAGCCGACTACCACATCCATCACAACGCAATGCTTTGGTCCTGGAGCCACAATCGTGTGTGCAGCAAGCCACATGTGTGTGTGTGATCGGGAGCCCGTTGTAGCCCAGTCCAAAGGGTTCACCTTTTGTTACACGTTTTCCGGCACCATTTTCAGAGGCCAGCAGCAGTGAATCTGTCCCTCGACTAAAGCAAGCGACTATAAGCTAGATACCCATGCGTAGCATAATAAAGACAATGATCGAATTCATGATAGGAAATCTATTTATTGAGAATCACAATAATAATATCAATAACAACTATAAATCATCCGTTGAGTTAAAATATAACAAAAGGAAATCTGCCTGATATGATCCATTAATATTACAACATAATTCAGAAATGGCTCGTAGGAAAAGTCGAACCACAACCTATGGTGTTCTTTTTCCAAACGATCCTAAATCATATCTCCAACTGATCCATAAGCATTCTTTGGTTTTCTTTTTATACGACTCCAAAAGGCCTCCATATTATTAGTGCACTGGTTTGCACATAAGTGTATGCAAACAGGTGACGACAGCGAACGATATGTTGCCCATTGATTACTGTAGATGGTCCTACCAAGCTTCACCCACTGCTGGATAGTGGGAATTAAAGTATCCACAGAACGATCTTCCACATGTTGATAATAAGCCCCTTTCGAATCGCGATAATACATCTCAAACATCCCAGACGTTGTATATGGTCTGCCTCCGCCGTATTTGCTTTTGACAGCCAAAGTTTCGTCAAATTCTACGACTACGTCGGGTGCACTTAGTTGAGTGGCTACAAAACACAGGTCAGGGAAATAAGGGTACCACTGAATTTCACTTCTCCTGGAAACAATTTCCACCATGGCAACACGCGTTTACCGGTTACAAAATATGCCAACAATTTCATTAACGTGTCCCTTCGGCTTAAGCAGCCATGCTGCCATAATTATTCACTGGCGCATCAGCTTCCATCTCAGAAAGGACGATCGAAAGCGTCCCAATATTTGGAAGATACCCGTCGCTGAGCTGCGAGCAAAGGATTCGGTGACCAACTGGTGAGGATGACGATGTGGAACCAATGTGGGGACAAATCAAGAACAAAATAATCTAACTCGTGTGTGTTTGCTTTCCCACGGGTAGTCAGTACTTACACCAAAGGTCCTCCGTGTTTGATCATGAACTTCAGAAGCTTCTGTGTAGAAAAAATAGAGCACGGCAATCCTTCCGGCAAACTGGTAGAAGATACGACCATTACAAAGATATCTAATAACAATAGACATCGATGAAACGGCAGAAAAGAGTGGCCTTCGAGGACAAATATGGCAGCAGCTGCGATCACCGCGCCGAATATGATCTACGCTTACTTGCGTCGAAGAACGAGAGCATCAACGAACATGCCACCGCTCTTGGACGAAGGTATACTGAAGGAAGACCCAGGTGAACAAGTCAACATACTCACCAACCACTACGCATTAGTACATGTGGCAGAAGAGGCAATTCCCGAAAGTCTTCGCATTCATGACTCTCACGCTCTTCTATCAGATGTCCCGCGGTTAGAACCCGGCGAAGGGCAGTCCGCGTTGGGTAAATTGAACACGGATCAGTTCCCGGACCCGGACGGTATCCTTTCCAAGAGGAAACTCTCAAATGTGATATTCATCTCTCTTTCTCTATGTTTGAAAGTTCATTAAAATACGGTCGGCTTCTCATGGGCTGAAAGTATGCACTGGTAACGAACACCTCTGTATAATAGTGGTGCGAGGGCTGACTCAGCGAATTACAGTTCGGTAAGCAAAGCCATCCTCGGTTGGCATTTGCCAACTTGANAACTTGAGACATTTGTGGCGCCGTCGCGAAATCTGGCTGTTTGTGAAGGGTCGAGTGTATGCTGCTGCAGTTCGGTCAATTCTGCTATACAGAGTAGAAACTTAGCTGTTAAGAAAACAGGATATTGATAGACTGTCGGTGTTTGAAGAGCAGCTCACGGAAAATCGCACGAGTCCGGTGGGGGAACCGTAAAAGCAATGCTAAGGTTAGACGCAGAGTTTCGGGTAACTGTGGAGTAAGTGGTCACCCTTATAGAGTACGTTGGTTGAGGCACGTGTTACTCACGTTGCCAAACAGGTTACCACGGTGAGATGTTTACCGAGGCAGACAGCGGGTGGAAAAAGCTAAGGATGGTCAAAATAAGACCTGGTATGAGGGTATAAAAACTCTAACCATGAGACTCGGTCATATAGGTCACGTTAGGCTCCCTGAATGGGTGCCTCGGGATCACGGTAATCAATGGTTAGAGACACCGAGCGATATGACTGTTTATTGTAAATAGTGATGCTCATGCACCTTCTCAATTTATTCGCAGCCTTAGTTTACGGAAATTCACCATTTTCTCTTCGACTCTAGTTTCAACTTTCCTGTCCTTCTCTTACTGCTTCATCGAAATGGGCAGCCAAAAGACGGCAACTAAAACCGCTTCACGGAAGTGCATGTTTAATGGTTATACAAACTGAACACTGAGGTGCACGGGTCACCTTGGATATTTGCCCCCATCCAATGGAAGGGGGTATGATTTGATAAACTGGACATCGACCTCTCTTTTTTATAGACAATACTGTGATGTGATTTGTTTGGCAAGCAGTATGGGCTCAGACGTGAGTGAAATAATAATAACAACAATAATATATATATAATGAATAAAGATATAGCATCGGATTTCCGGTCGTCTGATTCGCTGCTCGGTGAAACAGTTAGCGTATCTTACTTAACTTTCTGATGTCCATCATAATATTTCAAAGTGGATAGTGCGTCTTGAGGATGTATGCACGTGTAATGCACCCAATTCTTCGCCTGACAGTTGTGACCCAAATGTTAGGGATTGATTACCTCTGACAACTTTCCAACTGTTGAACCCATGTGAATGTCAGTCATCGACCCTTGTGCACGTGTGCCTACCATCTAAAGCATTCTGCCCGTTGAATTTGATCGAACTGCACATATCCGTAATCGTTGAGTTGAACGTTTTGGCAGCCGTTGAATGGTCCTCTGGACACAACAGAACACTGTTTTACTTAGATTGCGCCGTGACGGTGCAAACGCACACTCCCCGATTTGGCTCACGATTCAAGGTTTTTACTTATTTTATATTAACCATTCATAGCCTATAATTGTACCGCATTTCAAGACGATTTCGTCTTCTGTTGAACTTCAGGATTTGCGCGCCACTCGATTGTTAGGACAGATTTCCACATCATAGAATCTTTTCTCTCTCTCACACACACACCACAGACAATAGGCAAACCGAGAGTTTGCACACCTGTCCTAATAATGGCTTTGATAGATTGGGAGAGAGAGGAAACCGTCTTGTAGGCATATATCGCATTCTGAAGGCAAAAACCGATGTCACGATACTAATTAAACGGTTCAAAAAGCTTGGAACTCATTTACATCTTCAATAAGTAATGTGATATCGCCTGGACACTTAAGGCCAAACAGCGTGTCTTCCGAAGAAGCCCATTATCTTCGCACTGCAACAGGACTGTTACCAAATTTGCATCAACCATATCCATCCCGGAGGCCACGGATTGGTACACGTCTAGGACTGTCGGAATCGTACACCGAGAGATACGTCGTCAGGTCGGGAACAGAATGAGCTTTAGGATGAGTGACAATCAGAGCAAAAGTGACTATTTGACCTGATAGGATTAGATGAACACGGATGGACCAAATAAACGATCGCGATAGATCAGTCATGATGTTTACAGAGATGGCAGGTTTTTGTCCAACAGGCGCCCGTTTTTTTTATCACACACGTGTGTGGTGAACAGCAGATGGGGTGAATCCCATAGTTACGAAGACTTGGAAGCCGGTAACCTAAGCCCCGGGACTTGGAGTGGTGCACCAAACCAGGTAAGGCGCGATACTGAACCGAACGACAGAAGAGTTGCCTACCACCAAAGTTGAATGCCGCTGGTGGGGTTTGTACCGCGGACCATAGGGTCGAAAGCACGCCAGTGACAGCGATTAAACCACTGCGCCACCACCATCCGCCAAGAAACAAGGCCATTGTAATCACTCTAATACCACGTATATATCATCGTGTTGGCTCCATCCCAGAGAAATGGGCCGGTTGCTACCACTTGTTTATAGATTTATTCATCAAACCAATTTGTCCTCACTTAAGAGCAGGACACGTAAAAACAGAAGCCTGTAAGTGGAAGAATGACTGAACATAACAAATTATATTTAAAACAGAAAATCTAAGAACCGAAAAACAAAAAGACGGAAGCTTTTTCACAAGATTATTGATAACCATTGCCATTGGATACTTACCTGGCTTGACTCTTGTGGAAGTTTTTCCGAACCTGATTTTTTAGCTCTGGTTCCGAAACACGAGGGAATGCCACGCCGCGAGGATGCCGATGATCTGGGAGATGTCCGCTGACGACACCAGGTCGTGACACGCTCAACCAACCGGGGAGAGAAGCAAGGTGGATCACCACCAGGTGGCACAGAATCCACTCCGGTCGAAACTGGCGGTATCGCACTGCACACAGTGCCGCAACCGGGAGCTGGACAATATGTCAAGGAAGTATTTGTTTCCACTTCTACATAATAGCGATACAGAGACGTTGGATAGAATAAAACAGACTACACTTGCCTCGTTCTTTCTTCCGTGTCATATACCGTTCGTACAGGTCTGGAGTGAGCAGAGATTGAATCTGTAACAACGGAAAGAATCAACTGGAAAGGCAGTCGGCTTACCTCTACATCGGTAAGATAACCGTCGGATGGGCATGTATAAGTTGGACAGACACATGTGGGATCCAGTCGATCTTGTATGACAAAAATAACATACAATCTGAGACACTGAAGAGCAAACGAAACACGATGAAATGGATAGGATGTGAATTCCAAAAACAGATCAAGTATTAATCTAACGAGTAGCATACCGCATTGAAGTGTGCCAAAGTAAGAGCACAATATTTTCCGCAAAAGTGTTTAACATACACCCAAATGAGGTGTAGAAAAAAACAGGTTTGACATAGAATAGGGCTAATTTAGGACATTCAATCATACTGTTTGCAACTTTATTGTCGACCGATTTTAATCGGCGATCAACTCGCTTTTCTGTGACTGTTAATTTGCCACAAGTGAGCAGAGATCGTTAGTTGCGGATTTGGATCCATACGCCTTTCTTTAATTGGGTGAGTGTCAGAATGCACAAACAATGCGCCTTCCATGATTTCCAGGGAGCAAGTAAGAGATTCAAAATAACGGAACGAGCTAATCCACTGATAAGGTCAAGTTAATATAACAACCATTACAGCTTTCTGAACCACTATTGAACGTGGCGAAGAAGGCATGACAGTTTTACTCCCTTACATTTAGGTAACCAACAAGAGCGCAAAACCGATAAGATTTTCTTGACGCTTTAGTAGTTATGGGCTACTTATTGTAATATTATACCATCTCAACCTATAGGTGTTGTGAGGCACCACTCAGATTTGTGAGTAGTATGTAAAATAGCAGTGCGGTTGGCGGTATCATCCAGTCATTAACCGGTGTGTTGCCGGGCCTTGTGATGACATGTTTCATACGAGATATCTGTTACATGTCTGCCAAATTATTGATATCCTAACTGTAATCTGCAATGAACAACTATACTCGACCAGGTACCGCCTTGTAGAATATAAACAAGTTACCGCGATTCAAGTTCCGTCGATCTGACACATCGATAATACAAATCAGGGGAATGGTGATACACACCTTAGATGGTGAATGTTTGGATTATCCCATTCAGATTTTCACAGCACTGTTGATGATGATGTTCGGTGTGGGCTACACTACTTGGGAGATCGTTAATTCCCCACTGTTTGTGTGCATCTAAATGCGATGGAAACGTTTGTGATAACCAACAAAGAGCACTGGACAGCTGTTTCGTCCCGTTTGGGACTCGTCAGCAGTGCGTGCATCTTGTGTCCCTGTCAGGACTCGAACCGCGATTTTTCGGGTTGGGACTTCAAACCCTTACCCTTGAGCTCTCTCTTTTTGTTGATTATCACAAACGTTTCCATCGCATTTAAGTGATGCAGACTGTTTTTAAAAAATTCCCATGGAGTTTTCGGAGGAACAACAACAACAACAGTTTACGGTTGAACGAAAAGCAAATCATAGTTTAAGTTGTTCCAGAATTAAACACTTAAACCAGTTGTGATAATCACAAAGATTCCCGGAACCTGTATCGACTAATATAAAAATCAGAAGCGTTTATTCAGTAAACCGTCAAACGAAGCTCTCGCACATTTAGTCTTAAAATAGGGTCTTTCACTAAGAAAAAACAAAATTTATGTCCTGGTGAAACTTGGGGCTTCAAAATGCATCATACAGGTGAACAAATTTCACCAAAATAGCCTTCCGGTCTATAGGGACTCATATAGCATCACGTTCGGAATTCCATTAAGCTGTTGTGAAGTAGACAGACAGACAGTCACGTGTCACTTGATTGGATAACTGCACGAGCCAGCATAAATAGATAAAATCCTTGCCACTGCTCGTGGCTCTTGTGATTATGCGCGCGGTGCGCCAAACAAAAGTCAATTTTCAATTACCTACAAATGCATCCAGAATTATCCGTGACTGTTCTCCATTTCCTGTGTTGATGTATTTACCATTGAACTGCGGTAACGAGGCTGTATTTTACTACTTCTATCGTACTGCGGTTGTTGTTCGAAAAATGAAGCCTTGCATATAACCAACCCGGTTTTGTCAATCTAATCAAAGTAGAAGTACACCAAAATCCACTTGTCTAGCACTCAAATTGAATGTCCATTCCGCGCAGAACACCTCAACATCAATTTACATTACGGTCACCAGCAGTCGAACAAAGGCGGGAAAACTTGTCCAGATTTATGGTGCGAGAATGTTCGGTCGATATGAATTGATTCGGGAGAATCAACACGAAGCATTTGGCAGCAATGTTGATGTAGAATCTGTACGGCAGATTCTGTTAATGTAGATCAACCAAGATAATCGGATCAGACGATCGAGTGACGCGCAAACCCCGAAGTCAACAGAAGACGAGATTGTCTTGAAATGTGGTACTATTGTGACACACATGATTACGAATAAAATTTACAAACCTCGAATCGTGAGGTAATTCGGTGAGTGCGAGCTTGCACTGTCAAGGCACAATCGAAATACAAATTGAGGAAAGACAGCGTTTTGCTGTGTCAAAAGGAGCCTTCAATGGCTGTCAATGCGTTCAACTCAACGGCTGCCTACACGTGCAGATCGACCGAGATCAACGGTCAGAATGAATAGGAAGAGACATACGCACAAGGATCCGATGACCGAAAATGAACCAATCAAATGGAAGAGAAGAGACGACCAGTGGGACTGGTGACAATGAGTGGGTTCTGGTGTAGTGTGTGTGTGTGTGCACATCAAATCTGTCATGCGTGCAACCAACCGGTCACGTTGGTGTGTGAATCACGAAAGTACATGCAGACGGTCAGGTGTTCGCGTCGGGGTACAATGGACGAGAAAGAAAGTGTCATATATCGATCGACGGGAAGGCTTAGTCAACTAAACAGCAGGGTGACATGGGTCACTGGCAAAAAGGCGGACAATCAATAACTCGTTGGTCGGTTCAGACATGTCGTGCCACAATAAGATAAATAGAAAGGAACAATAATCAAGTGTGAAGTAAGGGAAAGTGGAAAAGGAAAAATGGAAACAGAGTAAACTGGATACGAGGAGGACGACAGTAGCAGATCAACACGAATTCAACAGTTGATCAGGTTTATACCACTGCGGTTACTTCAAATTAACTGCTCTATTGCTCGGTTAAACGACATGAAACAGAATAGAATTGACCCAGCTCTTAGTAAAGTTCTGTTATTTTTATTCCTATGTTTATTTCGTTTTAACGTATCGCGACTAATTGGGTACGACACGGTGTCAGTAAGATTATTTGAGTACCATGGTGAAATATTCAGCAAATGGCCAACATTTTTAACCTAGCTTTCTAATTGCTGTACTGTTTCATTCATGAGTTGTATAGTAGAAATTAAGGTGTTTTTATAATAGATGCGACCCGGATCAATCGGGAAGCAGCAGCGGTGATCAAGTTCATTTGAATAACAACCTGAAGACCATGAGTTGCACTCCGCCATAACCAGTCAATTCTTTGTCCCCAGTTTCATTATTGCGGTTGATTTTATGGACGTTTTGAGAGTATTCTATTGTGCGGCTACCGACTCGACCGTCGGGCTGTGCGTAGTCATTTGCACGCCAACAGTGTTTGAAGAAAACACTCATGCTTACCCTGGGAGACACAATTTGGTAGCGTAGATATTTTCCGAGGGAGGGAGGAGAGACAAATCTTTCCAAGTGATCTATGCGAGCATTTCAAAGTTTGAACTCTGTGTCACTCACCACCGCTCTCTGCACCTGCATGACATGTGTTCGTACTTCCTTATCCATTGCGTTTTTCATTACATTTTGTAATGGTGTTTCTGCTTAGTATCAGTCATAAACCATTGATCGTCAACTGTCTGCCTGCATTATCATTTTCCGATGCTCACTGGTGAAAGACAATCGTACCAGAAATTTATTTCACCGATATCTATTGACCCTCATTGCGCTTTGACAGCATTGAGTTGAGAAGACTAACACACTGTAGAATACTAAACCGTACGGATTCTACACCAAGTAAATCAAAGTTGATTAGAAAGTGAGTAAGTGCACGACCGTAATTGTTAATATCGCTCACCCAAGACATGCGTGACTCGTTCCCAAAGCGTCACAATCTATGGACGTCATGCACTTGCTTTAGGGCTTGGCAACTTGGCAGTCCGTCTTAGTGTGAGTCGTGTTCATGTCTCACTGGACCTTTGGGTTCATGGTGTCTGCATTTTCCTCTCTTTCAGATTGTCGGTCAACCCTCTGCACGGAGAACTTCCTGTCTGTTGACGGTTCTAGCCCACACCTAGACCCGGCCCACTTACGGTTGTCTGGTGTATACGTTCACGGGGGACATCCTGCCGCACACACGAGCCAAGCATCTCACAGTGCCCGACCCAATCACCTAACTTCTGCCTTTCTTGTTCATTTCTTACATCCGATTCGTACAATGCGGCGTACACAGTCATGAGAATTCCGTTGGAAATTCTTCTGCTGTAGAGAAATATTGTTTTAAATGAGATGACTTCTATCCGGATAGTATCAGGAACAAAACGGATACGTCTGAGGATTATTCTCGAGAATGATGACATCATACGTGAGTGTAAGGCATCTGCGGACGAACTTGCACAACGGGGTGGATTGACAACACCTCACTGCCTGATCTGGGATCATCACCTCTCAGTTCAATCGCCTGCTGAAGAACTCAATGAACATTAGAAGGTATTCAATTCTCTTTCGAAACAATGATGGATTCTGGTACATGGCAAACGTAAAACACGATGAATATTTGAGTGCTCTGCTGCTTTGTTGGAGGCACACAGAATCATTCCTTCAGATTTCAAATATGACACTACACACAAATCTCTTAAACTCGAAGTTAGCAAGAACCCAAAGAAAGATTGTCAGAAGTTGTGGGTGGATGGACAAATCTAGAGAGATGAGGATGGCTGTGGCTATGGGTAAAGGTCGTAATCTTTTTCGTCTAACTAGGTGAACGCGTCCACGGAAAGAAGGCGTAAGGTGTATAAGGAGTACAAGAACATACTTATCTTTTTAATCTTTTTATTTTACTTCCTTTTATTAAATATGCAACGGTACAATTTTCAGGAGGGGGGAAGCGGCCAATCAAAG